TAATAATTTTAAGAAGCCTGAAATCCATTTCAAGTACTTTCTTCAGCCATTAACAATCAAAAATAGAAGAAATTTCAAAAAATGCAGAAATGATAACAGTCTCTCAGACCACAGTGCAATCAAATTAAACTCAGGGTTAAGAACTCAAAACTCACTCAAAACCACACAACTACATGGAAACTGAACAACCTGCTCCTGAATGACTACAGATAAATAATAAAATGAAGGCAGAAATAAAGATATTCTTTGAAACCAATGAGAATGAAGACACAACATGCCAGAATCTCTGGGACATATTTAAATCAGTGTCTAGAGGGAAATTCATAGCACTAAATGACCACAAGAGAAATGAGGAAAGATCTAAAAATCGACACCCTAATGTTATGCTTAAAAGAACTCGAGGAGCAAGATCAAACAAATTCAAAAGCTAGCAGAAGACAAGAAATAACTAAGATTAGAGCAGAACTGAAGGAGACAGACACACAAAAACCCTTCAAAAAAATCAATGAATCCAGAAGCTAGTTCTTTGTGAAAAGATCAGCAAAATAGATAGACTGCTAGCCAGATTAATAAAGAAGAAAAGAGAGAAGAATCAAATCGATGCCATAAAAAATGGTACAGGAGTTATCACCACAAATCCCACAGAAATACAAACTACCAGAAAATACTACAAACACCTCTATGCAAATAAACCAGTAAATCTAGAAGCAATGGATAAATTCCTCGAACTTACACCCTCCAAGACTAAACAAGGAAGAAGTTGTATTGCTGAATAGATCAATAACAAGGTCTGAAATTGAGGCAAAAATTAATAGCCTACCAACTAAAACAAGTCTGGAACCAGATGGGTTCACAGCTGAATTCTACCAGAGGTACAAAGAGGAGCTGGTACCATTCCTTCTGAAAGTATCCCAAACAATACAAAAAGAGGGACTCCTCCGTAACTCGTTTTATGAGACCAACATCATCCTGATATCAAAACCTGGCAGAGACACAATTACAAAAGAAAACTTCAGGCCAAAATTTATGATGAACATTGATGCGAAAATCCTCAATAAAATACTGGCAAACCGAATCCAACAGCACATCAAAAAGCTCATCCATCATGATCAAGTTGGCTTCATCCTGGGGATGCAAGGCTGGTTCAACATACACAAATATATAAACGTCATCCATCACATAAACAAAACCGAAGACAAAAACCACATGATTATCTCAATAGATGCAGAGAAGGCCTTTGACAAAATTCAACACCCCTTTATGCTAAAAACTCTCAATAAATTAGGTATCAATGGAACATATCTCAAAATAATAAAAGCTATTTATGACAGACCCACAGCCAATATCATACTGAAGGGGCAAAAACTGAAAGGATCCCTTTGAAAACTGGCACAAGACAAGGACGCCCTCTCTCACCACTCCAAGTCAATATAGTATTGGAAGTTCTGACCAGGGCAATCAGGCAACAAAAAGAAATAAATGGTATTCAGTTAGGAAAAGAGGAATCAGATACTTACCCCTTAGTGCAATTGATCAGTATACTCAATATACGTCTGCAAACTTAACAGTAACGGAATTTACGCAGCAGATCAAAGTCTTAAAGGTAAAGAAAAGAAAGCAAACAAACCTAAAAACAAATTTCATAAGGCAAAACAAAGATTCAGGCAGAAAGATGTTTACAATAACACTGGAAACAGTAAGATCAAATAAAAACAGACAATGATTATATAAATCATGGCAATACTTTCAATAAAATTCTGTTCCTTTGTTACAAAGAAGGAATAGATATAGATGTCCTGTCATGGGAGGACAATACATTGCTAAGGCAGAAAAGTAAACTGTAAAACATTCTACATGATATAAACACATTTTTTGAAAAAAAAATTAGTATATGTATAGAAAAGAAAAATGGTAGAAGATCTGTTGATAGCATGTCCTCAGGAGGTGGGAAATGGGAGCCTTACACATTCTACAAATTGCATGTCCATAGGGTTTGAATTTTATGTAATGTACCTGCATTGTTTTTTTAATTAACTCTTCAGATGGGGGAACAGGTAAACCTGTGACGAAGGAATCATCTGAAACACTCTCCCAATAACTTTTTTCCCTTGCTCTTTTAGTGGGTAATGTTTTGGAATATTAAACAAGTTTTCAATTCAGTACCATCCCTCATTCAGTCTTTTATTTTTTGGACTCAGGGAAGACAGAGCAATACTTAAACCTAAAAAGACCATGGCCAGTTCTTTCCGTTTATCCTTTCCAGGGTAAAAGAATGGATTGGAAAGAATGCACCATAAGGAAACGTCAAAGCCAAGCTCCTCAGCATCATCCCATCCCTTTCACTATTCCCAAGATAGACTTAGGGGATCTTATGGCAGAAGAGTTCTGACTCCAAAAAAGCCTGGCCAGGAACAGGTTTACGCCAACATCCTGCTCCTAAATAATAAACACCCCCCACCGTTATCCCTAACTTGGATGCAACCCTTGTAAGGGAGAAGGAGGGTTGAAAGGAACGTGAACCAAAAATGCCTGAAAATTATTAGGGCAACTTGCCCAACTGTAGTCATGAAAGAATAGTTATTGAAAATTAAGCAATTACATTGTTCATAGAATTAAATTTATACTATCTAATTTCAACTCATTTTCTAAAAAGCACGGAACTGCTTACCTGAAATACTGTAATTTTCTTAATTGTACTTAAATATATGTTTCTTTTCTTGTAAATTTTCTGCCTACTTTGCGTAAAATCAGGTGGCCAAGACAGCCTTAAAGTTCTTCTCATTTTGACTTAAAAAGGCTTTTTCCTGACCATAGGCCCCAAACTTTCTTTTCTTAGAGCATGATATGGTTTGGCTCTGTGTCCACACTCAAATCTCATCTTGTAGCTCCCATAATTCCCGCAATTGTGGGAGGGATCCTGTGGATGATGACTGAATCATGGGAGTGGGTCTCTCCCATGCTGTTCTCATGACAGTAAATAAGTCTCATAAGATCCGATGGTTTTAAAATGGGGAGTTTCCCTGAACAAGCTTTCTTGTCTTGCCTACCACCATGATTGTGAGGCCTCCCCAACCATGTGGAACTGTAAGTCCAATAAACCTCTTTCTTTTATAAATTGCCCAGTCTTGGGTGTGCCTTTATTAGAAGTGTGAAAATGGACTAATACAGTAAACTGGTACCAGCAAAGGGGGCTGCTACTGAAAAGATAACCAAAAATGTGGAAGTGATTTTGGAACTGGGTAACAGGCAGGGGCAGAGGTTGGAACATTTTGGAAGGCTCAGAAGACAACAGGAAAATGTGGGAAGGTTTGGAACTCCCTAGAGACTTGTTGAATGGCTTTTGCTGTACCCTGCAAAGCCACAGGGGCAGAGCTGCCCAAGACCATGGGAACCCACCTCTTGCATCAGCGTGACCTGGATGTGAGACATGAAGTCAAAGATCATTCTGGAACTTTAGGATTTCACTGCCTTGCTGGATTTTGGATCTATATGGGGCCTGTAGCCCCTTTGTTTTGACCAATTTCTCTCATTTGGAATGGCTGTATTTACCGAATGCCTGTACTCATTGTATCTAAGAAGTAACTAACAAGTTTATAGGCAGAAAGGACTTGCCTTGTCTCAGATGAGACTTTGGACTGTGAACTTCTGAATTAATGCTGAAGTGAGTTGAGATTTTTGGGGGACTGTTGGGAAGGCATGATTGGTTTTGAAACATGAAGATACAAGATTTGGGAGGGACCAGGGGCAGAATGATATGGTTTGACTCTGTGTCCCCACCCAAATTTCATTTTGTAGCTCCCATAAGTCCCACGTGTTGTGGGAGGGACCCTGTGGGAGATGATTGAATCATGGGGACGGGTCTTTCTTTAAGAAAATTACAGTTCTTATGACAGTGAATAAGTGTCATGAGATCTGACGGTTTTTAAAAAGGGAGGTTCCCTGCACAAGGTCTCTGGTCTGCTACCATGTGAGATTTGCCTTTTACCTATTGCCATGATTGTGAGGCCTCCCCAGCTATGTGGAACTGTGAGTCCAATAAACCCCTTTCTTTTGTAAATTGCCCAGTCTTGGGTAAGTCTTTTATCGGCCGTGTGAAAACGGACTAATACAGAGTATTTTCTTTAGAAAACTTTTCACCGTAAACTCTTTTTCTGTCTTGAGATATAGGTAACTCTTTTTAAAAGCCTCTTAGTCGTTTTACAAACCAGAGCCATCTTTGTTAAGGACCTGGGAACCATTCCTTTGAAATGCAATCATCAAGGAAGAAGTGCCCTTATCTCCCAGTTTCCGTGGGAGGGTAGGAGTCTAACTTCCCTGGGAGCCTATTAGCGAACACAGATGGCCTAATCACGGAGGAAACATTTGTAACACTTTGTTTCAGCAGAGTTAGTTAGACTGAGTTCTAATCTCTATTCCCTGGGGCGATAGCTTTGCATAAAGTATTCCTTACATATGTAACTTTCTCTGGTGCAATTTATGCTTTGACAAAGGAAAACCAAGACAAATTAAACTACCTATAGCACTGAATTTCCACAACCCCTTCTGCTATTTATGGAACACTTGAAGTGTTCTTGCAAAGTATCAGGACCGCCCTCTGAGTTGGATACAATAGTTTTCTTTCCTCTTATAGTTATTTTCAGATATAAGCTTTAGGAAACGGAGGCTTAGAGAAACCAAGGAATTTATCCTGGGTCACACCAGATAAATTCTGGACCAGTCAGGACTAGAGACAAGGCATTTGCTCCCAAAGCCAGTGCGTTCAAGCGCTTTGCATAGCCAGTATAAAACTCCTAACAGTGCGTCTTCTTGATTTGATTGTGTGTGTGTGTTTAGGGGTATGAAGAAGTCTCTGGGGATTTATATGCGTCGGTTTTGTTTGTGAGGGCGCCCATTTGGGGTCTCCGCGCCTACCGCGGGCATCGGGTGGGCCTCCTGGGCATCGGGGAGCAGCGGCCAAAGCAGGGCGACGCGGGCAGGAGGACCGGCCTGGGGGCACTCACCGTACAGGTCTCGCCGCCTCCGCCACTGAGGAGCTCGCGTCCACCCGAGCGGGACCCCTCCTCCGAACGCCCTTCCCAACCGCCAGATGCCCGCGAGCAGGTCTGTAACCTGGCCCTCGCGCGGACCCGGCCGGGAGCTGGCTGCACGAGGGCCGAGGGCGCGCAGGGCGTGGAGCGGTAGGGGTCAGCGGTGCGGACTGCAGGAGGTCCGGTTGAAGCGGTCCGCGGTGCGCGAGCGGAGCACACAGGTGCTCCTCAGTCCCTCCTCGCACGTGCGCCTACGAGTCGTAGTTCCCAGTTAGTTCCACCTGTTACCCCGCAGCTCCAGTGCGCCCACCGGCTGCCCCACCCGCCCAAGGTCACCTCTTCCTTGCTTCCGCCGCCCCGGCCCGTGAGGGGGCGGGGACCTCACCCACTGTCCTACCCACCTCGTTCCCTGCGCCCACCTACCTCGTTCAATGCGCCCTGCCCTCGCCCCAAGTCCCTGAAAAGGCCCCACCTAGGTACTCTTCCGGGTGCTCTTCAGGTTCTTCGCCTGTCGACCCACCTGGACGAACCCCCACAATCCTCCGCCTCTCGCGGACTCCTGTCTCCCTCGTGTGCGGTCACCTTGAGCGGAACAGAAGTTTAAGAAAATTCATGAGCCGCCGCTCTTCAGGGTCTACTGGGGTTAACGGAGAACTTCCCAAAGGCACGGGGTCCTGCAAACCCCTCATGCGGGCCATTCAAAGGATTCCATCCTGGGGCACACCCCGCGCCACGCGCGCCGTCTTCGCGTCCCTTTCTCCAGCCTGAGCCTCCCCTGCGACTTCAGTCCCGGACGGTTCATCTGCTCCCGCTGCTTTCACCCGCCAGCCACCCCGGCGTTTCCACCTCCGTGTATTTCTCATGCTCCCCAGTTGTACAATGCTTGCTCCTCTTGGCCGACCCCAACCCAATTCTTGGGACCAGTGTAGCTTCCTATTTAGAATCGCAGGTTCTGATTCGATCACATGGCAAATTCACTCTCCCCGGCTGTGCCGGGTACGAGAATATTGCTCCAGCTCCGAAGTTAAGCTTTGTCAGGAGAGGGCGCTAAAGGAACACTGCAGGAAGAGGAGCTTCTCTTCCTAGTTGGGGAAAATCCCGGGACTGTATAGAGCATCTCTTCCCAAACTGGGAAGGAGCCAGGAGACCAAATAACGACGCAGACCAGTCCAGCTTGACGAGTAGATGAGTTTCTTGGGACTTACGTATAGGGCACTTCTTTTTTTCTTCTTTGTTTCTTCTTTCTCTCTCTTTTCTTTTTCTTTTCTTTCCACGGAGTCTTGCTGTCACCCAAGCTGGCAGGTCAGGAAGACTTGTTCCAGCGTGATCTGACTGAAGGAATAGTCTTCTAAATCAAATTGCTCTTTAGCTTCCTCCAAAATACCAAACACCGTTAACAACAGCAACGAAAACGCAGTTACCATTGCAATTTCCTCTTCAGACCCCAACTCAGATGAGCCTCTCCTCCACGCCCCCAGTTCCTGCCAAGTATATGCTGGAGAACAAAAGGCACAGAAGGGAGAGGTGAGAAAGTGGAAGAACAGAGAATTGAGAGAGTGAGGAGGACATTTTCTATTCCCATTCTCTTGATGATCATGGAGTAATAGTCAGATTTAGGGAAGAAATCAAGACAAACTCTAGCGGTGTTTGGAAAGTAACCTAACTCTGCTGCTCCTCCCACAATGCCAGACTCCCATTTCACATACCCGAATCCCAAATATGCCAATCGTTAGGGCTCTCTTAACATGCAGCGTTAGAGGGGCAAGATTCTACCATCATCACCTTTCCCCAGTCCTTGCTGGGGATGTAGCAGTTAAGGATCCCTTGGTTCTTGTGTTTTTTGTTTTGTTTTGTTTTTGTTGTTGTTTTTTATTTTATTTTTTTTATTGCATTTTAGGTTTTGGGGTACATGTGAAGAACATGTAAGATTGTTGCATAGGTACACACGTGGCAGTGTGATTTGCTGCCTTCCTCCCCATCACCTATATCTGGCATTTCTCCCCATGCTCTCTCTCCCCAACTCCCCACCCCCTGCTGTCCGTCCCCTATTTCCCCCCAACAGACCCCAGTGTGTGATGCTCCCCTTCCTGTGTCCATGTGTTCTAATTGTTCAACACCGGCCTATGAGTTAGAACATGTGGCGTTTGATTTTCTGTTCTTGTGTCAGTTTGCTGAGAATGATGGTTTTCAGATTCATCCATGTCACTACAAAGGACACAAACTCATCGTTTTTGTAAGACACTACCTAAGAACAATAAGACAGGTGAATAATCTTACACATTTCATTTGAAATCACCAAAATATTGCTACGTTTACTTAATTATATATTTGGAGGGGTGGATAGAGGAGGTTAACATGAAAGGAGATACGACCTGCTAACCCAGTCTCTTTGGTATCCATGATATAGTTATTGCTTTCGGCAGATTTATTCCTCATGAACTAGTCTTACTATGTGGGGTTCATAGCAATGATTGGACACAAATATTAGCCGGTTCACTTGCCCAAGTAAAACACTTGAGCCTTCAAAAAGTCTAATGTGGCCAGGTGTGGTGGTTCATGCCTGTAATCCCAGCACTTCAGAAGGCCAAGGTGAGCGGATCACCTGAGGTCAGGAGTTCAAGACCAGCCTGGCCAACATGGTCAAAACCTGTCTGTACTAAAAATACAAAAATTAGTTGGGCGTGGTTGTGCATGCCTGTAATGCCAGCTACTCAGAAGGCTGAGACAGGAGAATCGCTTGAACCTGGGAGGTGGAGGTTGCAGTGAGCTGAGATCATGCCACTGAACTCCAGCCTGGGTGACAGAGTGAGACTCTGTCTCAAAAAATAAAATTAAAAAAAATTAAAAATACGCCGGGCACGGAGACTGACACCTGTAATCCCAGCACTTTGGGAGGCCGAGGTGGGCAGATCACAAAGTCAGGAGTTTGAGATCATCCTGGACAACATAGTGAAACCCCATCTGTACTAAAAAAATACAAAAAAATTAGTTGGGCGTGGTGGTGGGCGCCTGTAATCCCAGCTACTCAGGAGGCTGAGGCAGGAGAACTGCTTGAACTGGGGAGACGGAGATTGCAGTGAGCTGAGATTGTACCACTGCATTCCAGCCCAGGCAACAGTGCAAGACTCCGTCTCAAAAAATAAATAAATTTAAATAAAATAAATAAAAAATAAAAGCCTAATGTTACTACGAGACTTTCTTCTTAAACGCAGTGCTGAGCCTATGAGCCAGGAGGTTTTCCTCCCAGCGGTGTGTGGGCATGCACAGTGCGTTTGGTGGGGAGGACAACAGGAATAATCACAATAAGAACAAGATCAATAACAATAAGGATTAATCATAATGAGAAATCAAAGTAAGAACAGCCTCACACTAATGCTATTCTTGTAACTATGTAACCCCATGCCATGTGAAACAGGAGATTTGTATAAATTATCAAAGTCAGGCCACGTGTTCTAGTTTTTTCTTTTCTTTTCAAGGTGGAGTCTCCCTCTGTTGCCCCAGATAGAGTGTAATGGCACAATCTCCACTCACTGCAACCTCCACCTCCTGGGTTCAAGTGATTATTCTGCCTCAGTCTCCCAAGTAGCTGAGACTACAGGCACGTGCCACCATGCCTGGCTAACTTTTGTATTTTCAGTAGAGACAGGGTTTCACCACGTTGGCCAGGATGGTCTCGATCTCTTGACCTCGTGATCCTCCTGCCTTATTCTCCCAAAGTGCTGGGATTACAGGTGTGAGCCACCGCGCCCAGCCATATTCTAGTTTATTATACAGGTGAGTAAGGATCTGCCGGTGGAGTAGGAGGAAAGAGGGTGGTGTCTATTCCTAATTTAGAATAAACATTTGTATTTATTGCATATTTGTAGATTATAAATTTGTAAACATTTATTGCATATTTGTAGATTATAGCAAGTGAAATTAACTGGGATTAAAATGTTTGAAAAAACACGTTTGTTACAGTGTGGGAGTTTTCTTAATGTTAGTCTTAAAGCATGTATTGCCTTCATGATCACATAAATAAATATTATAAAATATTTCAAACATCGAGCTTAATGAATTATTTAAAGCAAATAAACACGAAACCACCCTATACAGGTCAAGTAATGACCCATCCATTCCCAAGGGCTACTTCCCAGCGTCTGTCTTCCATAAAAAGTAGCCATTGCCTTTATAGTTATTTGAGCAGTTCCCTTTTTATCTTTTTATCTACACATGTACCACTAAAATTGTGATTTAGATTTTTCTACGTTTGAACTTTATATGGATGGAATCATCCAGTATTCATTCTTTTCTGTCTGCTTCACTTAATATTATGTTTGTAAACTTCGCTCATGTTGCATGTAATTATAATTCATCATTTTCCTGAGAACACATGGGAACAGGGTGGGGGGACATCACATATCGGGGCCAGGTGGGGGGTGGTGGGGAAGGGGAGGGAGAGCATTAGGACAAATACCTAATGCCTGTGGGCTTTAAAACCTAAATGATGTCTTGACAGGTGTAGCATACCACCATGGCACATGTATACCTGTATAACAAACCTCCACGTTCTGGACATATATCCCGGAATTTAAAGTAAAATTTAAAAAATAAAAGAAAATGATTTGTGAATAAATTCTGCTCTGCACCCTCCAGAGTCAGGGAGAAGGGTCCCACACTGGGACTGCCAGCTAACCCTGCTTCAAGACCACAACCAGGACCACTCCAGTGCCAGGAAGGGAGGAGGGGCAAGGGCGTGTAAAATCATCACAAAACTATCCACTGTTTTGAAGTGACTTTTTTCTTGGTTCAGTATTTATTTGGTTGCTATAAACTTTTTATTGTTTTCCATAGTTCTGACAAAATTGGTCCTGGCAGTTTCTGCTTATTTTTTAAACTTTTTGTGAGGTGGAAATTAGAACTTATGCCCATTCTACCATTTTGCTGACAAATCATTCTTCAGTTTCCTGTATATTGATATTTAGTTTCTATTTCCTTCTGCTTTGTGGTTAGTTATCTTTGGCAGGCGAGGGACAGGAATTTTCATCAATTGAAGTATTTTGATATTCTGCTTCCCTCTTATGGCATATTACATTGATTAATATAAATAAATATTATAAAATATTTCAATAACAAGTGATGTAATGGAGGAATGGTAATATTTTGCCTAGTTTGCTAAGCTTCTTAGTACATATTCATCCTCTTCTATTACAGTAAAGTATAGTTTCTTTCATAACCTAGATGAAAAGGACACATCTCTAGAAACATACAAACTACCAAACTAACTCAATAACAAGTAAAATATCTGATAACTCAAGAACAAGTTAAATATCTGAATAGACCTAAAATAAGATACTGAATCCGTAACTAAAAACTTCTCAGCAAAGAAAAGGCTTCAATGGTGCATTCCACCAAACATCTAAAGAATACTTTACATAGTATTTCATGGTATATATGTGCTACATTTTCTTTATCTAATCTATGATTGATGGGCATTTGGGTTGGATCCAGGTCTTTGCTACTGTAAACAGTGCCACTATGAACATTCGTGTGCATGTGTCCTTATAGTAGAACGATTTATAATCCTTTGGGTATATACCCAGTAACAGGATTGCTGGGTCAAATGCTATTTCTATTTCTAGATCCTTGAGGAATCGCCACACTGTCTTCCATGATGGTTGAACTAATTTACACTCGCACCAGCAGTGTAAAAGTGTTCCTATTTCTCCACATCCTCTCCAGCATCTGTTGTCTCCTGATTTTTAATGATTGCCATTCTAACTGGCATGAGATGGTATCTTAATGTGGGTTTTGATTTGCATTTCTCTACTATGCAGCCATAAAAAAGGATGAGTTCAAGTCCTTTGCAGGGACATGGATGAATCTGGAAACCATCATTCTCAGCAAACTGACACAAGAACAGAAAACTAAACACCACATGTTCTCACTCATAGGTGGGTGTTGAACAATGAGAACACAAGGACATAGGGAGGAAAACGTCACACACTGGGGTCTGTTGGGGGTTGGGGGGCTAGGGGAAGGCTATCGGGGGTGGTGAGATTGGGGAGAAATAACACTGGGAGAAATATCTAATGTAGGCAACAGGGGGATGGAGGCAGTAAACCACCATGGCACGTGTATACCTATGTAACAATCCTGCAAGATCTGCACATATACCCTAGAAATTAAAGTATTTTTAAAAGAATAATTTACATTGGTCCTCCTGGTTGGTTTTTAAATAAACAATCAATTGTCCTATTCTCATTTAATATGTTAAATCATATAGGGAGCACAGTCAAATAAGAAATGGTGCTAAACTTTCTTTGAGTTATATGTGAATAAGTGTGTTATTAAAGTATGTTCCAAAATTGTAAGAAATTCCTACAATTCTGATATGTCTTCGTATACGTTATCAGTAGTCATTATAATGATGTTAAACTGTATGACACAGAAATAAATTTCCTTGTCAATTGTGTCTTTAGGCAGGATGTAGTGGCTCATGGCTATAATCCCAAC